AGAGAGGAGAGAGAGATAGAGAGAGAGAGAGAGAGAGACACAGAGAGAGAGACGAGAAGAGCAGGAGAAGAGAAGAGCAAGAGAGGAGAAGCAGGAAGAGAGATGGATCGATGAGAGACGAGAGACGAGAGAGAGAGACGAGAGAGAGACGAAGAGAGAATGCATCGATCGAGAGAGATGAGAGAGAGAGATGAGGAGAGATTGAGTGACGTAGAGGACGATGAGACAGAGAAGAGATTGAGAGAGCGATAGACAGCAGAGACAGCAGAGACCAGAGAGAACAGCAGAAGACAGAGAGACAGCAGAGACAGAGATGACAGAGTAGACAGAGCAGACCGAACAAACGGTATGGAAGGTCACGAACGCAACGGACTGCGACAAACCAGACAGATCACAATGATAGCAGCTGCGTTGATTATGATACCACTATCATGCCAAACAAAAGTTTTAGCCACATGCAGTGCAGTACACCTTCAGTAAGTCCTTCGCTTTGCTATTCTCAAAGCATCAGCACTGTATAGCACCCTACGATAGCGATGCATTCGCATGATACGCACTATTCAACACCGCCACTCTCCCCGTACTGCGCACCGCACGCACGCACGCACGCGACGCCACCACGCACGCACCGCACACCCAACACACAATCACACCACCTAGAACGTACAACACGCTAACGCACGCGCATGGCACACAAACGCCGCGCGCCGATACGCAGCGCAGCCGCCGCGCCGCTAGTGTTAAATGCACCTGCACGTAGTAATGTCGGACAGCTGCAATCAGTCCGTGCCGTGTTTACACATCGCCGGTTATGATGATGGAGGATGTGGAAAGAGTGAAATGAGCAGAAAGTCAGCATCGAGACTGACTCGGCCCGACGCGCCTCGCGCTTCGCGGATGCTCAGAGATGCACGAAGGAGACGATCCGACGAGAGCACGACGCAGACGAATCGAGCGTGCCTGACGACGCTAAGAGATGAGAGGATGACGAGAGAGTAGAAAGCAGAGCAGACTGGAGGAGCGAAGCATTAGCTCGCAAGTCGTGTGGTTATAGTGTAATTAGCTGCTTACGCCCTGTTCGATTTATCATTCATTCGTCTTGTAACGCAGCCAGCCGGCAGCTATGCCAAGCCATTACCTCATACAGATCCATTTTCTAAAGAATTTAAAAGCCTAGATATCCGCAAATCACATTTTAACAATGCATTAAGAATCATTTTTACAAAGTATTACAAATTA